GTGACAATTTATTTATAAAAGACAAAATCACGAGTTTAAATGTTGGCAAGTGAATTTGGCAACCGTCAGTATTTTATTTTCTTCTTTCTACGAAACATTTTCCGATAGTATCTTCTGCCGCAACATTAGATTTTGTTTCTTTACAGATAAACACTTAGATGAATTAGGAATTTTTTAACAGTAATTTTGATTCGTTTACACGCTTCTGACGTAATTCTCGCGCGTGTTTTACATGTATATCTAGCTGTCACATATGAGCCTCGTGCGGTAATAATTATACATTAACACAATTCCTAATGTATCGGATTTCCGTAAGGTTACGAAAATGTTAGGAATGAACTCTAAATAATATCGTAAAATTATATATTTTATTGGAATTTTAATGATTTTAAAATGCTCGTGTTATGTTGATTTTTGTTTATTTCCTCGTCGTGAAGTTAGTCGGAAATTAAGTTCCTCTCGATGACGTCGTTCGTTGCGTACGGATTGACCTTGGCCGATCACGTGATCGGTGCCTTATGCGGTCGGGTTGCTCTCGAGTTACCCTCGTAGTCGGGCATTTAGTTACTACGACGAAAACAGAACAAAATTTCTTAATTCCGGAGGGAAGTGTTTTACTAAATGGGAACGCCGATCCACTCGTTAATTCGGTCGCGTATAATAATAATAACGGCGACTAGTTCCGGATAGAGACAACTCGGGAAAAATACATTTCAGGATTCGAACCCGAAACAACCCGTTGTATCTTAATTAAATTATTATTTGGCAGAATTTTTAGACTGGATTTCTCGGAACATCATTTGATCCCCTGCCAAAAATACTTTTTTCTTTCTTTTTTTGTATTCTATAATTCTTGACAATGGTTTCGCTTCGGATCTTATAATCGATTTTCAAGTTTTTCCCGATTGTTTCCGCCATGTTTTTCGATTCAAGGTCACGTTAATGGATTCATCTTTTGGCGTTTTTGCGAATAGCAACCAAGTTTCATCAGAAAGACGGTTTTACAGGGGCTTCCGCCCGCATCCTAAATCTCGATGTGATATTATTAATCCGCCATTTTTAATATTAAAAAGTTTGTAATTTTTTAAACGTTTTTTCCTGTTTAAAAATTTTTCCCTATTTTAATCGATAAAAGCATAAATAAGTATATTTGGGGGGGGAAATAACGCTTTAAAAACAGGAATTCCTATTTCCCGTTCGCTCGGTTTCGCAATGCTTTTAACTCGATTGCATTTTGTTCCTCGATAAATTATCGAATTTTTGTTTCTCTTCCCGATAGATAGATCCATATGAAGAGAAATAATATTTCCAATTACAAAATTCGAGTTAATTTTCGAATTAATCAAAAATAACGCTCCATTTACGACGCACGAAGCAATGAATGTATGGTTTTAACCTTTGTAATGCTGCTTAGTAACAGATAGAAAAAAAGTAAAACAGCATTGCGCTCGATCGAAATGTGATAATTTTATTGTAAAGGTTAGTAGTACTAAACTCTGTTCGTAGAAAACGAATATTTTTTTAATTTTAAGAATAAGAAATCCTTTCTTAGAAGACAAATCTTTCTTATTTAGTAGGTTATTCATAGTCTCTCAACCAGTAGATCGCGAACGCATAAATCATATTCCATTGTATCTAAAGGACGAGAAGCTGGAAGGTTTCGAGTTACCCAATTTAACGGAACGTAAGAGAGTGGCGAGACGTTTGGTTACGTCCTTAGTAACAGCTTTTTGTGGCGAAGACGAACCTCGAAGGGCGCCACATCGACGAACCAAAAAGAAATCGATGATGGAGTGTCGGTTCGATGTCGGAGTCGCTAAATGCGCGAACGAAATCCGGTAACGATTTGTGACAATTTTTATATGTCCGTCTGTCACGAACCGCTCTACGTATGCCGGACGGAATTCTCGGAAGGGTTTTATTATCATGACTATAATTAAACGAGTTATTTCGTCTTTGACAAGCGAAGGGGAAAGAATTTTTCCTTATTAAAGTGTGAGTCATCACGCGCCGGTTTTAGTTGTTCTCGGTCGGGGCGGGTAGACTGCTCGGTGCCTGCAGGTTAAAAACACAGGTGCATACAAGTCGGGTAAGTTTTTCCCCCTCAATAATGGCGATAGAATGTGTCGCGCATCCGCGCCACAATCGAAAATCCAGGTGCGGATGTTTGGACGGTGAATCATACAATGTAATTGTATGCAGGATAAATTGTTCCTAAGCAATTATTATTGTTTCTCAAACAGTATATCGCGAACTGCAGTCTTGAGTCGTAATTCGGGGTATTTCAATACGTTCTAGAGTTAAGAATCAAAACGGAAGGATGACCACGGGGTCAATGAAATTCTTAGAAATTTGTTACTCGATTGATGAGAATTTTATAAAAAAAAAAAAAGAAGAAAAAAAATCAGATCGTGACTTATTTAGACACGAAAATTATCGTTCAAATATTTTTCAAGTAGCGATTCGTGTTGTAACAACGGATATTTCTTGTATCGAACTGTTTCAACCCGTAGAAAGTGAACGATCGATAGCCAGTAAGTCTGTTAAATTCGAATGTAATATTTTAAGTGGAAAAGATTGTCTAAACGATAAAAGTATCCGTACGTGTTTAAAAAAGTCGTATATTTCTACGTGTTAATCCTCAGCCTCTTATTGAGCCATTGCTCTTGTCACTCGTGCTATTTACGATTTTTGCTGTTTCAATTCCTAGATTATTTCGGCATTACCTGAAAAAATCCCTGTTGCCATCTTATTATTCTGATAAAATTTAAAATTACACTACTGCGTTTGTTGTAAAAGATACTAAAATATCGGCAAGCACTAATAATCTGTTTTTATTACTCGCTTTCGACTCAAAATCCAGGTGGCGCCTGCCTTCCATTCTCTCCAAACAAAAAAAAAACACACGCACACTAAACAAATTGCATCTAGTCAGTGGTATGGAAACTCATTAAGAATGACAAATTTTATCCAAAACTACAAGAGAAAATAAACTGGATTGGTCCTGAATTTAAAATTTAAGTGCGTCTTTATATCTCGGCGTTGCAAGACGAATTTATAAATAATAAAGGATCAATGCGCGGATTGCCGCATAATGTCATGTTTATTTTGACAGTGAGATTGTGCCTATAAATCCTTAATTCCGTACTGTTTTTGTAGGCATTTATCGCTTGTTACGTTATTAAAGGTGATTTCGTTAGCAAACCTCCGTAACGTCGCATCCCATTGGACGCTAGCTACATCTAAGCTAATTACGTCATCAAAACGGAGAATCATCCCTCTCGTCCTTGACCTTCTTTCGAGATTCGACGCATTTTATAGCTGCTCGGGTCCGAACTAAGGCACTTTTTACTCGTCGAAAACTTGCAATTTTGCTTACATCGGCTGATAAAAATAAACAAATGCGAATAGAAATAGTTTTAAGAAAGCCTCAGGCCAAATTTGGTACCCACCCGTCGTACGAGTACCAGCTGTACCATTGAATATTAACGAACGTGTGACCCGAGTCACGTAACTAGTGAAAGTTAGACTGGAAGAATTACGTGTACATTTTATTCTAGTTGGGTGCCACTCGGAAAGAGGTTAATTGTTTTTTTTTAATTTTATTTTTTGGCAATTACACTTCAGTTATGTAACCGACTTATCGGAATGAATTTCTAAGTTAGAAACTACAAGACCGTGTCTGTCTTTAAATTAAAGTTAAATAATTATAGAGTGGGCACAAGTCTAATTTTGACCCCGTAAATTACGAAATTAGTTCGTCTCGACCTATTTTCTGATCGCATATGGAGAATTTTCTGTATTTTTTCATATTTCCTTTTTTGGTGGAGAATTTTATGCGCACTTCTAGGGGGAGTACCGTTTGATTAGTGTGTGAAAACCAATGGTAACTATAGAGTAATTGTAGGTTACATAATCTTCCAGGGATTGATTCCTCCTTGGGAATTCTTAAAACTAAAAGGCTAGAGTGTTAATTACAGATTTTATTGTCGTGGGATTTGCTATAGAAAATAAACAGCAGCAACTGGAGAACACCAGCTTGCTCAACGCACAGACCTACTTTCACTTTGTAAAATATTGGATCCCGCGTTGCGTCGAAGGTTGTTTGTCAATGTGGGATAGTTCTGCGCTGGAAGGGCACGTGTCGAGGTTATGCAGGTGAACTTTCACCCGGTTTCAGAGGATTTTTAATTGTAGAAACATAAACTTCCAGCCCGGAAACTTGCTAATTATTTTTAAGTAATTTATCTTCACGACCTTGGTTACTTGTCGTTTGCGTAGTTGTTCGTGTGCTTAAAATCTCGTAATGAAACCATTCTGCATTTATTTGTTTATGGATTATGATAATTTTTTCTAAGCTGTGCCAAAAATCAAGAAATTTGCGATAATAATTTATGATTTTACGCTTTACTTATTGGCAAAGTGACCAATTTTGAAGAAAATTATGGCATTTTGCAAATTTCACAACGAGTTTACGATTCATTTTTATTGAAGGTTTTTCAAATTTTTTGCAAATTTTTATTTCGATACAAAATTTTCAAATATAATCCAATTACACAAATCTGCTACTGTTATAATTATGCAAAAACTGTCATTTCCGAGTAAGTTGAAAAAAATTCATAGAAGAAACACCACCTTGACAGAGTAAAGTATATAAAGTTCCGCAATGATAATTTTGTTTTAATGTTTGAATAATTAAACGTTTTGTACTTTATCTTATCTTTTTAATCGAGGATTACTTTTCATAATCCATGGAATTTAATTAGCATTAACTGCAGATTATCTTTGATTGTTAATGTTCGAACGTAGCGTTATTTATGATCGCAATGTACACTACGTGATTCTGATGACTTTTATGCAGTTACTTTATTAAATTTTTCATGATCGAATATCGTCCCTCTAATTTTTACTTAATGTTTTATCTCGTCCGATAATTTCGGTTTACTACAAGTTATATATAGTAGAGTTACGAATAAACGAGTAAATTTATTTTAAATAATTGTTATTAGTGTTTTTTCGTCTAATAAAATTCACATCAACTGATAAAATACTGAAATATATCTGATTTAACGCGAAAAATTCAGAATCTTTATTGTTCTTGTGAATGATCTCTAGTTGCAAGTTTTGTTTCTATAGTAGTGCCATTGAACGACGGGGAGCTTCATCAAGAAAAAGAGTTTCCAGTCATAGCGGTCGATCGTAATTAATCATTAACATAAACGAATACGTCGATGTAAAAATCTCTCATCGAGGAGTATTTAACTCCCTACCGATAATACTACGCGACTTTTAGTATTTGATAGGAGACAAAGGACCCCGCCGGTTGCAAAACGGAACGGAGGGAGGTCTCGCGCATCGAAACTCAGCTGTTGCTAAGGCGAACACGACATTATGACATCATCCACCGGTGGCTTTCTTCCAACTACGAAGGAGAATCGGCGATCACGTGGGCTGTCGTCATTCCTTCGCCAGTTAGCATTTAAAGAATATAGCAAATAGTAACATGCAGAAGGGCGATATTTGGAAAATGCATCCGGTCAATCGCTTCAGATTTTCTTGGTAAAGAATCAGGTAATTGTTTACTCTTTCGAATGACAATCTCCTCTTTGCACGTTGATGGCGGAATTTAATTCTGTAATTGATAAGCGGTGAGCAGGTTGTAAGAAATTATGCTTATGATATTATTTTTATTTACTTATTTTTTATAATAATGACGAAGATATAATGTTTTCGTGTTTGAAATTAAAACATCTGTCGTAAGATGTGGCGAAGTTTTGGTCCTAAAATTTCCTAATTTTTTAATAATCTTTGTGTAGCTTTTGCTTATAACAACAGTTCATTTTGTAACGCATACATTTGTATTATTCTGCTACAATTTCTGGACTTTATTTTATTAAATGTTATCTTCTTGTTTATCTTTTTGATGTTGTCTAGAACAATCGCGAAATTTAGAAATCTCTTCGCTCAGATTTTTCATGTAATTGAATTAGGACACCTCCTATTTTCCAGAAACAGAATAGATTCGATTTAAAGTGTTAACAATTTAAATTTTTAGCACATTTTAATTAAGTGTTACATTTATCGGTACCGTAGGCATATCAAGTGCTACGCTTTACGAAAAACTTACGAAAGAATCTCATCTGGGTGCAGTCTGTAGGACAGTATGACCCAACGCCCGCGACCTACATAATGAAAGTCCTAAATCCGAACCCCTTTTCGGCCACTTCAAAACGAGCGCTCGTACAATTTGACATATGCGAAATCGAATTAGTTTCATTTGCAACTTCATTTACTTTTGCGAATTTTCTACATTCCATTCTGACGATTCGACAAGCTTTCGTATTATGAAATCACTGGACAGTGTTAATCAAAGATTTTGAGAAGCCAGATATCCTAAAGAAGAAAATTGGTGACGTCAAATTGGATTTGATTATATCTATTAAAGTTTTACTTTTTTCTCTCTCTCTAATTCATAAAATGATAATTAATAAGTGGAAATTGTAGTTTCTATTTGATGGCGGAAAGCGGAAAGTTACTTTCATTGTCATGGGCAATAATTATTTGGTGCTTTATTATTGAAATCGCTCGTCTCGATATAGGAAACGAGGATATTCCTTCGATAACATTGACGTTTCCATTAATTTTTCATATTTAAAACTTGAACAGTAATTTTTGCAATAATTGACTGTAATAGATTCTAATTTTTACAGAAATTCTAGTTTAATATTTTTAAACATTAACTTAAATGAACGTTGTCTTAATCCGATTTCTGAAAGTTTATTTTGCATGCAGTCATTATCCATTACATAATTTGTTGTTTAATTCGCGATGTAATCTATTATTGTTGCTACAACGATAATCGATTACTTCGTAACATTACTCGGCTTATATGCTGTAACTAAAGAATAATCGATTATTAAAATTATTATATAATATTTATAATCGATATATATAGCAATTATATAATATATGAACTGATATTCGTCTTTTTAAAGTAAAATTTGAACGGTGTCGAATGAATGATTCATTTAATACCCATTAAAATGCGGGTCTTGTTCTATTTTTCTTCTACTATGTCAACATCTTTACGAAAACTTTCAAACTTTCTCGATCTGTGAAATGTTATATGTCGATAAATTTTGTTTATTGCAATGTTTTTTTCTCTTTACTCCTCCCCTTTTAGACGATAAGATATTTGAATAATTGCAAAACATTCTTGTATATTTTTTATATTAATAAAATTAAGAACTGCATGTAATGAATAAAATTGAGGTTAAGGGAACGTCAACTTGGAGGTTAATGTATAGAATGAATCATAAGAAAGGAAGGGATATAGGTTCTTTGAAAATCTAGGTCTGGCTTGTGTTTTATACCTATTGCACGAACTATCCAAAAAATCTCTATCTGATTGGAATTAAGAACTGTTGGCAACTTCCTGGAAAAGTTGTTGAATTTTCTCGATTTAATGTTTTTCAGAAACCTTTTTCTAAACTCTTTCGATTAAATATATTTTAAATGCTACTCGTATATATATATATATATACGTTTAACTTTATCATCAATAACAACAATATATATATTTTATTTTATTATTGATGATGTTACATTGTAAAATTAAACCAGAAATTTAATAGTTGTACCGTTTAACAAATTATAGATTTAAACATAATCAAATTATTTTTATAGAATTATCAAAATATTTTAGCATTCACTATAGTTTGCTATTGGCCCCGCACATTAAAGAAACCAGAAAAATGCTTGTATATATCAATATATATGCAATTCATTCGTTCGCATTCAGTTTATTCTTTCTGCTTATAATTTTATTTAAAGTAATGTGGTGAAGCCTACCATCTCACCACTACAGTAGCTAGAAAGTTGGCTTATTGTGTATATAAATGGCATTTTTCCAACGAAACATGTTAATCTTCTTATACGTCTGAAAGAACGTGAATTAAACTAGTTAGATTATATTAATTCGTAACAAATTCAAACAATTTTATCATAGCACATTTGGTAATATCTGTATTACATCTGTTTTCGATATATATATATATATATTAACATCGATTCTGTGGAAGATATGTAAAACATTCTATTAGAGAGTTTTATAAAACTAGTTTTCAATTATAACGCTTGCTATTTGTGTTAGCTTTCGTCTAATTATATGGAGGAAAGTGATAGAAAGAGACTCAAAAATCTCCAAAGTGATTTATTCAATGTTATTTTTGCGAGTTTTCCACATGAAAAAAAATCCTCTTGTAGCTAATTGCCAGTTTAACGTTCTAGTTAGATTAAGATTTTATGAAAGATCGTATCGGTATCTGATTAAAACATGTCTGCTTAGTGGTTATTAAACTTGTTTTTTTTTTAATCATAAGTTCCATCAGGCATGAAATTCCATTCATACAAAAGATGGGAATTGTCAATACCAATCTTCGGCGCCATTTTGGAACCCTAAGCTCACTATTGGAAATCGCTTAAAATGCCAATTCCCTTTCTCCGATTTTTGTCTTGTGGTAGTTAGCGCTGTCGGAGACTTCCCCCTTCTTTAAACTCTGTGTTTACTAGTTAATTATTAGATCAAAGGAAGTAGCCGCGGGGTTTAAGAGCTCTGACCGACTTGTGTAATTGTCTCGCAACGATATTTTTTATTATCGATCAAAAAATACATTCTGGCTCAAAGAATTAGTTCAGATATCGACGCTGCCTGAGGATGATTTTCTAATGGTTCGATGTCTAGGAAACCGAATCCTCTTATCATAAATGTTGTTAAGTTCATGCGTGTGTCACCGGAGGTTGAACATTAGATAACCCTTCCTTCACTGCTTTAAATTTAGAATTCTTAAATGCTTTTCTGCGTAATTTCGAACAAAAATGGCTCAAATAATCAGGCGGAACTTTGAACAATGGCGGATTGTTTTATACGCAAAAACATTACTTATTTTTTTGTTTTAACGTTATTAATATGTAGTCGTGTCGACCGATCTCTCGCTCTCTCTCTTCCGTTCAAGAGAGAGAAGGTCATCGAATGGTTGTCATGACAACAGAACCTCGCTGTTGCTAGGGCTTTCGGAGTTCTACTCGGTGCGAATATAATCGAGAAAATGCGCCATCCGGTGTGTATTTCGTGTACTAATAGGCTTTTCTCTTCCTAGTTATGTGTCGTAAAGCTCGAATTTTCGTGCCTTTCCTTATATAAAGGAATTCTTGCAAAATTTCTAGATAATTCGTGCATGCAATGTTCCAAGAAATTTGAATAGATTAATAAATCACGCTTATTATTTATGTAATAATAAAGCGCATACCTCGATCGACGGGTTGGCAGATCTCATCTGTACTTTCAAGTTTGTGATGTGTATCAAACAACTAATAAATTTTTCGTACTGAAAAAATTATATGTGACGAGTCGGTATTGATAGAGCTAATAAATAATGTTATCACGTAACACGTTATTTAATTGCATTTAAATGGGTTGTCGTAGTTACCGTGTCGAGTATTTACAAATTCAATATTCAATGGATAAAGTCTAAACGTCAAGACTAATTTTTATTGACTTTTTCCTTTTAAATTTTTTTAAGGGATTCGAATTAATTGAATTTAATTCGAATGAAGGACTTGCAACGAATTTCTGTGGTGACATTTAAATAATTAATGTATATCTTCTAGTTATTTGGATATAATTTACATAAAAATTGGGATAAATTGTATGAATATATTAAGAAATTTCACAGCATAACTCGAAATCTTTTCCTATAACTTATCTGATTTGGTCACTCTCGGGCCTGCTAGTATATTTTTGCTTGATGCTTTGGTACTGAGTTACTATGATATTTGTACGAGAATCAACAATATCAACAAATCAACCAAGATTTCAATTTCTTTTGGATCCTGAAATTAGCATATATCAATATTTGGTATATAATAAACGTATTCTAAGAAGTAATTCGTATCGCTTATTGTTTTTAAGATGTGCTGCTTAGAAATTCGTTTATAAATATAATTTTTCTGATTCATCCGCTAATTACTAGATATAATTTGGATTTACACAATTTCAAACCAATTTCTAGGTACAGAAACCTGAAAATGGCGGATGAGTAATGTAGAAATCGACTTGACTGTGTATCCGTTTTTATAATAAAATAGTAAATTAGCAAAATATGAATTTAGAAAATAGGGAAATTTAGTTGATTCGTTTTTCCGTTTTAGATAAGATGACCAAAGAACCGGAAGATAGAACGCTTCCAGTTACACCGTCCAATTCAATTCAACAAAGCTTATCGGCTGCTGCGGAGGCTTTACCACCAGAAGTTCAGACGGAAGAGGACGTAGCCGAATTAGATGATGCCACATCCGAGGTGGGGGAATGGGTGGACATACCCGAACCACCCGACGGAGGATGGGGATGGATGATCGTTATTGCTTCCTTTCTCAGTAACATGGTGGTGGACGGCATCACTTATACCTTTGGAATATTTTTTATGGAATTCGTCAAATATTTTAATTCGCCCAAAGGAAAGACTGCCTGGGTTGGTTCTCTTCTTTCTGGATTCTACCTCAGTGTGGGTAAGTATCTTCTTTATTTTGATTATTACTTATAGACTATCTAGTTTCAAAGTAGTAATTATAGATTTGTTCTTACAATAAAACTTTAATACTCTAAATTACAGGTTTGCAATAATTTTATATACGAATTTATAGCAATATTTTTTATTCACAGTTGTAAAATTCGAGTATTTGTTGTTCAAATCAGTTTTATAAAACTACAACTACTACAGAAAGTGGAATTTATTTATACTTCATCATGTTACAGTGATTCTTTTGATGATTTACAAGCGACACTGAATAATTACTTAAAATACTTATTGCAAAAATGATGTAGTCAGTTTAATTATAAATGATGCTGATGCTGGCCTCGGAAAAGAGAAAAGAACTCTTATAAGACGTCCATCACTTAAATCTAATGTTTCCATCTTGTCATATTATATTGAGTGCTCTCTCTAACGATTTAATGAAAGCTACAGATACAGATCTCATAACGGAGAGAGAAGCATCGAATTCTGTGCTCGTTTCCAAACAGAAGTGTCTCGTGCTATTGCTAATTTATGTGAACAACAAATACATACTGTACGATGGAGAATAATTATCCATTATGATAATTTTGTGTTTGTTACACGTAACACACAGGAGGTTTTCTTAAAATGACAACAATTTTACAATCGCTATATGTCGTTGCAAAGACTTCATCACTGCTTGCACGTGGCAAAATATGAATAAGCTTTTAAAAACTTTAAAACAATATTTTAAATATGGTTAGTTATAATATACTTAAATTATTAATTTAAAAATTTATTTTTAAACTAAATTTAAAATACTTAATCAATTTTTTAAATTAATTTGTCTCGATATTTTTCATTTATTTTGGTAGTATTTGTATAGTTTGTGTAAATTTGAATATACAGTGGGTGATCTGTTAACGAACATAATTCGTTCCAAGACTTTGTTCGCTATCCGAATTGTTCGTTAACCGATTATCGATTTACCATAGGTTTTAATGGGAATTTGATTGATTCGTTCTGGAGACCCCCCAAAAATAAAAAAATAAATACTTTCTTACTACGTTTATTCATATGTAATAATAAAATGTTCGGTCTTGCATTTTTATTAGTCATGTTTTTTCCCGTTTGTGGGGATTAAAGAATCTATCCAATGTCGATTGCTTTTCTGTCTTCGTGATTTTTCAGAAGTAATTAATAGCATTGTAATTTTAGAGATCCCTAGGTCTATTAACCTTAACCTTGTTTTTTTTGCCATTTTAAGACCGTTGTTCTGACATCCTCCCACTTCAAAAGATCTTTAATAGCAGATATCGGCATAAATCTGCATTTTCAGAAGAAAACGTAAAAGAATTGTTTCTGTCAGAAATATAAAAGGCTGGAATTACAAGGGAGAGTTTCAAAGTTCGGGGAAATACTGTACTATCCGATCAGTATATACTGGGTTGAACGTCGATGTCGACGTCTCTCGCGCTCCGAAAAGTTTCGAATTGTTGTCTGAAGACAAAGGAAGACCAATCGATATTCGTTATTTTACGTCGCTTCTTCTTGTGTTTATTCAGTGAAGTGTTCGTTGTCCGATCATAAAAATCTTTCGCGAAAGTGTTCGTTATCCGATTTGTTCGTTAACCGATCACCCACTGTATTAAGAGTTCAATGACTCGTGTTAATGAGATTTCGGGGGAAGAGATTATGTTATGGTTTTTTTAAGAATCAAATAACTATATTAGCTATTTAAAAATGATTGATTGACAATTATGTTTTAGTCAGATTTAAAATAAAAAGCAACAAAAAGTTATTGAAAATACTTTTATTCTTGAGGAATTCTTTTCTTTATTTTTTTTATTTAAAATCTCAATTATTAAAGGAAATTCTTAAGCTTTACCTTATTTGTTTTAATAAGGGAAATTTATTTATTTTGTTTTTACAGTTTTATTTACTGTAATTTAAATTATGAGTAATTATGCTATAAATTATGAAATTAGTTTTTATTCTTTTTCGGTGATTGATTAATTTTTAAAAATTAATATCTATAATGTAAATAGCAATTTCTTAAACACTTGCGATTTTGCTTTAAATTTTTTACTAATAAAATTTATCTCACGAATTAGATATTAATTAATAATGATAGATTATAACTAAAACTAGAATGAGTCGTGATAGCCCGAGACTTCTCTGATTGACGACAGATGGCAGTATATATGTATTGTGGTGCTCAGTTTTCGTGAGCATTTTATTTGTGGTACGTTCGTAAAGTCAAACGAGTTAAACGCGTTAGTAACGAATCGTTCGAATAGTAGTAGTCTCGCTCAGTGCGTATGCTCTGCGGTGATGACGTTTCGAACGAAACTCTAACGAAGTTCACGAAGGAAAGAGTTAGTTTACTTCGTTAAGAAAATGGCGGTCGGCGATATCGATGTTTCTAAATCTACTCGAGTGTTTAAATTGTGAATTAAAAGATGAAATGATTGGAGTAACTGTCTACCCGAAGCAATCTAGAAAAATATTTCGGATAAGGCTGTACTAGCAACATTTTTATCTTCGATTTTAGAAATAGCCATTTAGTTCTAAACGAATCGTTCGAAAAGTGTAACGAAATAAGAATAACGATGACGTCATTCTCGTTTAACTCGTTCGACTTTACGAACGTACCCTTGATCTTTTAGTTTTTTCCATTGAAAATTATGCAAATAAATATTTTCATAAATTTCAAATAAATATTAAAAATTTAAAGATGATAAACTATTTAGACCAGAGTAGGCAGCAAGATTTGAATCTCTAAATGTACACATGATCTTCATACAACCTCGAAAGATACTAAGTAAATTTTTAAAAATTATCTATATTTTAATAGTTTACGTGAGAGAGAAACTGTAGAAAACTGTAATTAAAACTAAATTTTACTTTTAAAATGGTCTAAAATTGCTTTTGTAAGAATTGTTTTGATTGGTTAATTAACGCTAGATATCGGCACGTTATAGGCTATTATTATTGTTATCGTCACGCATTGCGAATCAATTCGACCCACAAGGGGGTCAACCAATATGGGTTGAGTGATAGGAAAAGACGCTTCAACTCGAATTGCCTATAAGTTGAGGATTCTCTTTGGTAGTGGGTTTAACTCCTTTAGGCTACGTGTGCCATCACGAATTAGTTGCAACGAATCTTCGTACAAAAAAGATCAAAAGATCTTTTGAAATTTTTATTAAAGTTCAATCATCTTAATAAAAATTTAAAAGATCTTTTTGGATTTCAAAACGGGTGGTCCATATTGGGGGAAAATGAATAAGATATTCGAAAGTAACAATAAATTTAGAAAAATTCACAAAATCCTTCAAGAAGAGCATATATTTGTCTGCTTTTCTGGAAGAACTTTGTGGTCATTTTCAGCACTTTTCAATATATATCTTTTAATTTCCAATTATGTAAACAGATTCTTAAAAAAATCCTATTCTTTGCAGGACCTTTAGTGAGTGCCTTGACTAATCGTTTCGGATGTCGTCCCGTATGTATGACCGGCAGTATAATTGCGTGTTTTGCGTTCCTGCTCAGTACATTGGCCCCGAACGTCGATGTCTTGATGGTTACTTACGGAATGATGGGAGGTAAGCTAAGCTATTGGACCATATTGTAAACTTTACTTTAGAAATATAGAATTTGATAATTCGAACGTATTCAATGCAATTCCAGTTAGATTCTTATGATTATTCTGCCGAAATTATTTCATTATCATAATGATGATGGCATAAATTTAACACTTCGAATCGAAAACTTTGGTCAAATTTGATCATAGATATTTGGAAGTTCAGTTTAGTTGTTAGGGCTTATGAAGACTGTTCTGTTAAATCATTTTAAAAAATAATGTGGACCAAAAACGATTTTTTTTCATTGATATGTAAATTATATCAGAAAACTTCCTTGTTATTGCTAAATAGTGTATACAAGTTTTTAGAATACAAAATATATAGAGATGAACCAATTCTTTCAAACTTTCGTCTCATGAAAATGTTTTAAAAATTAGTATTACAGTAGATTCCACTTAATGGGCCACATCGGTGAATATTTTATGGGCCAATCATTTGGCACATAAAATATATTGATTTGTTTGTTTTCTGCGATTTGACCCAAATAAACGGCCCATATTAATCGGTGGCCCAATTAAGCGGAATCTACTGTACTTCCTATAAATTAATTCTAAATCATATAAAAATGACAATTGTCAGTTTTTAAAAATTGGTATTCAGGTTTTATATTATACAAGAAAAATTTTATTGGGATATCGAAAATCCAAAGCGATTTCATATAATCTGAATTCCACATATGGTGAACTTAATTCGAAATTATTTCATTAATTTGTTATCGGCAATCATAAAGTAGATAAAAAAATTAAGTTGTCAGTTGTGATACTTAAAAAATACTTTAGCACATTAAATAATATAAATAATAATGCTGATACCAATCAGGTATAAGCATTTTTGAGATAGTACAATTTGAATAGCATTCTTGTAAATGTATTATAGGACTAAATGTAGATGACCATGATCTCCTATTAATTTAAATTCTAACGTAATAAGGAAATACTATGATCAACACTTCGAGTGAAAGCATCAGTCAAATAAGAATGTTATGAGATCTTATTTTAATTTTTTTAGGCTCTAATTCTCATAAGCTCTCAACTTTTTGAACTAGTGATACATACAACTTTTGTTGGCATAAAAACCAGTCAGTGTCAAATCAAAGATACTGTTGTATGTATCAATGTAAAATGGCATTGAAGATCTGCATTTTTTAATATAAAAAATATGCAAACACTATTAAAACGTTAATAAATAATTAGTATTTTTCAATTATTTTTGAAATTTTGTGATTCATATGGAAAGTTTGGTATTCTGGATGAGAGTCACTGTTCTTTTTGGCTTAGATGTAATGTTTTAAATTTGCAAATATTGCATTAAAGTGTTTATCTTTAAATTGAAATAACCTTTGTCAATTCAGTCCCTTCAACTACTTGCAATGCATCAAGCTGCAATTTCCAATAATGAAAGCATTTCTGGAATTATTCGTTTTACTGAACAAATTTCCAAATGTGTTTCACGATAAGACGGGATAATTGAAGTAGTCCTCACACTGAAAGAAGGTGGGAAACCAAGAACTTTGTGAATGGAATGTGTCTTGCTCATCATGATTTGTTTTCTGTTTTCTCGTTATTGTCAGTTGTCTTGCTGTTTGCAAGAAAATTTTGTTGAAACAGATTTGTGATGATCGATTCAGTCGTCTATGATCAATTATTAAAAATTTACATTTTCATATGCAAATTTTATTACAATTGTAATTTTCTTGCGTAATTTGGAGGGTTATCTTAAATTATATGCAAGTTATTGAAACAAAGATATTTTTAATTTGTTTAATTTAGTTTAAAATTTTTAAATATAAAACAACGTATGCAAGATCATATTAAATTTAAATAAATAAAAATTTATGATAGTGTCTAATTTATTTTACCAAAAATTGCAAGTAGATAGGAATAGTGCTACTAAATGGAGTTTAGTTTAAAAAATTTGCTACTAGGTAAAAATTTATTTTGATGAATTTGAGAATATGATTTATTAGAGATGTTATAATTTTTGAGATGAAAATACAGTCGATCCCCTATAATACTGTTGATTATTCCGTTTTATATGAATTCCATGTTGTATGAGTCATTTAGATTTTACAAATACGTGTCCCAGGCTGTGAACGGCTCACGTATTTGTAAAATCTAAGTGACTCGTACAACATGGAATTTATATAAAACGGAATAATCAACAGTATTATAGGGGGTCGACTGTAATATTTTACAAGAATATAATTAATTGCTAATTAAGTAGAATAATTTATTAGAATTGGCTTCGAAATATCCCTAATAATTCATTAAAATCTAGCAACTACGTGAGAATGAAATGATATATGTAAAATTAATTTTAAAAGTCAAAACGAACAATGACTATGCATTTATTCATTTCCTTGTTCACTCCTTTTGTCTTTAATAAACAGGACAAGTTTAGCATTAATTATTGGAATTTTAATTAGATAACTTTAATGAGGAATAATTACAAAATTAGATAGTTTCCCATCTTGTTTTTTTATTAAAAGATGGATGTTTAATGACGAACACAGAGAATGGGCCTTGTCGACCACCTTAGTTCGTATCATTCTAGATGGTCATTTATCAATGCTCCTTCTCAACAGGTATGACTGATATTTCTTCCAACGTCCAGGTGTTGGGCTTGGCCTCATCTATCTGCCTGCCATTGTCAGCGTTGGATACTACTTCTCTACGAAGAGGGCGTTTGCCACGGGAATTGCCGTCTGTGGATCCGGCGTCGGTGCATTTATATTCGCTCCCCTCTGCCAGAAATTACTAGAGATATACGGATGGAAAGGAGCGCTGATAATCCTCGCTGGTTTCACCTTGAATTGCATGGTGTTTGGTGCTCTGATGCGTCCTCTAAATGCGACGGCCCCCAAACAGAAGCCATTGCTACAAAGAATCGCCGAAGAGAAAGAAAGAAGACGTCTTGACTCCCTCTGCGACAGCCAGTTCATTTTAATTCAACACGCCGATGGTACTGTAGAAAAAAAACCTAAATTGTTGCTGAATATGGAACCGGGTGTTCATTCGACGCTGTATTTAGACCAATTTGGCAAATCGCCGGCGGACACGCCTGTTATTACCTTATCTCCAATTGAAGAAGCTCACAAATCGCCTGCCAGTTCCAAAGAAGACGAAATGGAAGAAAAGAAACCAGAACAACAACAACTCACTACCCCTGATACTTCTTATCCCCCACCCGTAATTTCCAACGGTGGCTTAGCCATTAGAGAAATTGCCAAACGCAAAGGTCTTGTACCAATCAACGGTGCCATGAAACTTAGTCTCAGCAATATAACTGTTAATAACGACTTGAAGAAACATAATATATCCATGAAATATTCGTCGAGTGGTATCCTCTGTCCTGGACATCAGAACAATAACTATTTAGCCGAAGAAATGTGGAAGAGGTTACAAGAAGAGCAAATGCCATTGGACGGTAATCGTCGATCGTCGTTGAAACGTAATAAGAAAGATTATACTCGACCTCTGTATAGGAAAGATATATTTTATAGTGGAAGCATCGTTCATCTACCGGAATATATTCACTCTCAGAAAGACATCAGATCTTACGTTGCCAGTGTAATATCGATACCTCGAGAAGGTGGCCAAGGAAACGTAGAAAAACCTAGACCTCATCTATGCCCTACTTTCCTGAAGCTTCCTAAGAGTATGACCGATACCATCGACGAAATGTTGGATTTCTCTCTCTTAAAGAACCGAATTTTTCTTATGATTTGCATCTCTAATGTCATCGGAATGGTCGGTTTCCCGACTCCCTTTATTTATCTCACCGATAGTGCAACGACAAAAGGAATATCTCCCGACAAAGCGGCATTTCTCTTATCCGTCATCGGAATCACGAACACCATAGGCAGGCTCATCTTCGGTTGGCTCTCCGATAGACCAAACGTTAGCGCCTTGTTTGTGAACAACGTTTGCCTGTTCTTATCCGGAGTTTGCATCTTCATTATGCCTTTTTGCCAAGATTACGTCAGCATTGTTCTTATTTGCGTCGTCTTCGGCCTCTTTGTTTGTAAGTAATTTTTCTTCTGTGTTTTCTGTAATGGAGAAACAGTAAATTAACGAAGATACCGTATTTTGCAGCTGCTTATATCTGTCTGACATCCATCATCCTGGTAAATCTGCTGGGTTTGGACAAGTTAACAAACGCATTCGGACTCCTCAGTTTATTTCGCGGAGGTTCCTGTATGATTGGCCCTCCATTAGCCGGTATGTTGAAACATTTATTAATATTATTATTGAAATTTATATGACGAATCTTTACATAATGTTTCTTTTTCAAGGTTCCATATCTGATTGGACTGGAAACTACAACATTTCTTTTTATGTTTCTGGTATTTTACTGATAATTTCTTCCTTGATCACGTTTGCCATTCCTTGTTTGGCCAAAAATGAAGCCGAACAACCTACCTGTAATTTGCCGACCGTTATCGAAGAACCGGAAGAGGAAGCCGAAGCAGTCGAAATCGCACAAGTGGAATCTGTCGTTTGAAATTACATCCGAGTCGGAAGAATTTGCATCCCGTTTTTTTTCCGACTGTTTTGTTTCTAATCGTGATAGTCGTCGACGACCACAAAAATTGCACAGGTTGACTACATCTGGCGATTAATGACAATTACCTTGTAACTTTATAAACAGAGCAGAACAAGGAACAAATGTATTCGTCAAATAGGACTAATTGTTCTTCCAAATATAATCTTGTGTGATTTCAAAAAGTTCCAGTCAGATAATTTGAAGCCAAATAAGTTGCTGTCTTTAAGAGTTAGTAAGAAAAGGATCATTTCTGGCAATAACGTAGCACAAAACTACACCAGAAAATTCGGACTGGTGCAATTAAATCTCAGTTAAAATACTCTTATTTCAGACTTTAGAACTTAATTTTCAGGAGACGAAGAATGTTTTAACAAATTAATTTTTATGACACGAACTTTTTCTTTTGCAAAAGACAAAGATGGAGTTTTCAATGTGAGAAATATTAGGAAAATGGAACGATCAGTTGCAGACTGTATCGAAGAAAGGACCAAAGAAGAGGCATTCAAAAGTAATCTGTGATATCAGAATTGCACGTAAATTACTTTCATATGACGCAGTACGAGTTCCTGCGCGTAAAAGCGAATATGCAATCCATTGGTCTAATCGAGTGCCTTGTTTGAACGCATATTTGCGAGAATGGATTAGACAGATAGAAAAAGAGAATATATAAAAATATATATATATTATATTCAGTATATAGATATTCACAGTATACATACATTTTAACATACATTCCATATACGAATATCCTAACATATGAAAGTATTCTCGGAGTAACTCCGTGGCTATTGTGCAATACAATATATTCACGATATGTGCGTAATGTGTTAATAAGGGCAAATAATGTTTCACTGTGAATTACGTTTATATAGTTTTATTGAAGTTCATCCACACCAATGGATTTTGTTTTTCCTCTTTTCTTTTCGGCCATCGTGCGTATGAATGCTTATGTATGGTTTTTCTCATCCGCGATCGAATGTTGTGTATAAAAAGACATGCTGCACAAAATCAAAATCATAAATCTACTACTGTATTTACTCCAAAATGTTCTTATCTACTTAATTCTAAACTTGTAGTATTAAATAAGTTAAAATTTTTATCGTAATGAGTTATTAATTTTGTCGATTTGTTTTACACCCGTGGTTCTCAACCATTTTTAATTAGATACAGGTTAGCAATTTAAATTTCTGGTGGTGCTCTGGCTAATTTATGTCGTACTGATGCGTTTATAGGGCCGACAAGAGGTGAGGAAACGGAGATGTAGCCCTGGTGCGCGATCCGGAATCTGTATAATAAAATTTCAGTTTAGAAAAATGTTCGTAATTTCGAGTGCATAAAGGGTGAAAAAGAAATATAAACAGATTGTGTCATATCAGAAAGACTAGAGAATCCGATCGCTCCCTACGGTCCTAAACGAAACGAGATGTCGATTTGAATTTTTTTAATGTAAAAATTATACTAATTATATGAAAAAGATAGTCCTATAATTACTATTTTTTGAAATTTTGTAGCACAGGTTGAGAATCACCGGGTTACATCATCCACAAAAAAATTAATTTTTTTATAAAATAATAAATCGACTTTTTGACACGAAAATAAGCAATTTTCTCTTAGAATCTATGTAAAACTGCTTTTATTTATTTTTGGCGAAATTTCGGTACTGCAGTTATTGGAAATAAATACTTACGGTGAGTGCACAACTTGCGAGTACAAATCGATCAAAGTAACAGTAAAACTAAGATCTGTATTAGGTCTTTCAGGTTGTTTTCTTGTAATAAAGGCTATGCATAAAAAATACAGTATCAATTTTCATAAATTTATACATTATTATTGTTATATACATTCAGAATTTTATTTCTAAATAATATTTAAGATTAAAATAATCTTATAATAATTCAACACCAAACGTATTACTTTAAATATTTATTCGGTAAAATCGCGGTAAAAGCGTTTAACCTGTCTGAAAATATTATGTAGAAGGGGAGGGAAATTACCTATTAATTATTGGATTACTTAAACTCTTCACATGATCTTGTAGTATTATAATCTTAATTCATGATATTTCACTGTTTATAGAATTCAAATCAAGTTTTTCGTTATGAGAATTTATTCAAGTTGTGTAATAAATCTGATATTGTGTCAAAATCTATTATCGCACATTTCAATCATTACTTAATCTGAATACAAGTTTCTTTTTGCATTATTTTATCACAGAATTAATAGTTTCAGGCAATAAAATAATTTCAATTTTAATTTATACTAATATAATGTATTGGTCATAAGAATGGTTTAATTAATTCTTATGACTTTTAAAGGACTACTCTTGTTTAATTTCAATAAATGTATGATTTTAATTAAAATATTTAAATTATAAATCGGAAAATGAGTTGTAACTTGCAGAAACTGCGCACTCGACAAAATATATTAATTTTAATTTAAAATAGTGCAACGAGTATAAAAATGTCAAGTTAGTCAAGAGAATCGTTTAGAAACAGCTTAATAAATTTAATTTGCATACATGCAATTTACAGATAAATTACAGATTACATCAGACACAGATATGTTGCCTTAACAAATGTAGTGAGAGCAATTAAAGTACTAACTTTTTATGTCAGAGTGAGTGAGTCATTCGTTTTATGGAAATTCGTTGAAGCTATAACGCCTATAAGCATGTGGTTTCGAAGCCTGTCGAAGCTAATGTTTGTGTAATTAATCATCAACGTCGTTATTAGAAAATATTTTCGTTAAATCTTTGTAAATTTGCAACCATTTCAACAAATTAAAAATGTTTTTGGATTTTATTGATTTTACATAAACAAAATTATTAAAATGTTATATTTTGTGCAAGTAATTTTAAAAGGTAACTGAACGATGGTAACTGAAAATAGAATATATAATTATTTGTTGAGAAAATATAGAATTGGATGTGAAATTTTCAATAAAGTTGAGATATAATGAAATTAGAATGGAAAAAGTTTAATTTTGAATATTGAAATTCTCTTGCATTTTTTTAATAATTTTATTCGATTTCGAAAAGTTTTTCTATTAATCTTAACATGTTTATTAAAATAAAATTCGAATTTTATAAAATTTAACCTAAAAGGACTTTTAAGACTCAGTTTGATATTTTCAAAAATGTTAAACATAAGTTGCGAAATATCCAGTTACATTTCAAATTATAAATTAATTAAATTGAGGAATTTTCTTGAAAAATTATAATAAAGACATTTTTAGTTTAAAATATTGCAATGTAAGTAAAATAAAATTTATTGCGCGATTAGTGTGATATTTATCATATTCGAAAATGTTCATGCAAAATCTGTTGGTAAAAATTACCGGTAAGTTTGGATGCACCATGATCTTTAACACAGAATAAAGAATGGCAAAACTTAAAATTAACATATTAATATGAAATTGCATTCTGCTGCAAATTTGCATAATGACTAATAAGATTATTCATACCACAGCTTGTTTTTATGTTAAATCCGATTCGAAACGTGAATTTGCAATTTCAATTAGTGGATCATTTGTGTACTTCGTAATAAGTTTTATCAGTGGGTCAGAACCACGAAAAAAATTATTCTCAATTAGATACACATTTTTCAAAATATTGTAATCCATTCACCTGTTCAATTCAAATATGTTATAGTTGTAAGAATTACTTGAAAAAAATTTCGTGCAATTTTTTGTTAACTATTGCAAGATATAATACATTGTTAATATGTGGAATGATTTATGGTATCCAATATCACAAATATTGCTGTTTTGATTTGCACGAATTAATAAGGCATTACACGTTTCATAAATATTCTATTCAACGTTCAGAATGGTTTAACTGATTAAAGATTTAGGAAGTACACTTTTGGAAATTGACAAATTAAAAATTTATCCAACATTTTTAAATTTTTCATCATATTTATAAACACTTAGAACGAAGACCTTTCGCATTAGAATTTGGCAAATTTTGAATTTTTTCTAAACGTACTCGCATAATGTTTAATAAATAAGAAAGTCGAAAAATCTTATAAAAATTCATAATTTAGTAATAAAAATTTAAATATTTTATTAAAGAATTTTTTAAGAGGTACAATCCTAATCCCTTATTTTTGTGTTGGCATGAATTCTCTTCAAGAGCAATGGATTGAAGCCTCCACAGATTCGATAATATGTCACTAGCTTTACGATACGAAAAAAGATTAGTATAATAATATAATCACAACTTAAATTAGTTAATTTTTTACTGTTTAAATTAATTTAATGTTACTTTTTTTCCATCCACCCTACAACAAAAATTTTTGTAAGTTTGTTTACAGCAATGTTTCCACATTTTGAAATGCTGAATTCTTCTGTTTTCTGTATTTGTTTTAAAAGTATGTGTATCAAAATAAAAATAAGTATTATGTTTTTTACGTCATTTTTACGACTGTATTTTCCCCCTTAAAACTAAATAATACTTTTGATTTTAATTTGAAAACTGGGATACAATTTTTTGAACCCGTTCTGAAAATAAAAAATGTATATATTAATTGAAAGAAGATTTCACTTTGTCCAACTTAGTTTGAGTAAACTGCTGCGACTAAAAATACGGTTCAGGTATCAAATTAAAGCTATTGTCCTGTAGATGATGTCGCCGAAGAGACATTTGAGAAATGTGTAATGGTTCGGGCATGGCAAAGCGGCAAAGGTAGAATGTTAAGTCTATGAGACAAACATGTCTCCCTGTTGAGTTAAGCCCGATTTTTTATTTTGCAATTTTGTTATTGTAAATACCAAAGTTAATAAATGTATGTTTTAGTTTCTAAGATCATTGTTTATATCACCCTTTTCCAACTCAACCACCCCTCTCAAAAGCCCAAGCAACGCAGGTATCAACGGAAAAAACTGATTGCAAACTGAACAGTGTAACGGTGTCTAACAAATCTAGACTATTGTGTTTATTGCATCTATACTCTAACTTTTGAAAATAATGAGAATAAAAGTAGAGATGTTAGAAGGTGTGTATTATACACGGACTTTCTGACATTCATCGGTACAATCGAAAAGAGAAAAAATTTTCTTGGCACTTAGAACTCTTAGCGTGTAGATACTGTTTCCGTGTACAGTTCATTTTATTTTCGCACATAAACCCAATAGTGTTTGAAAAAATACACAATTTCACATTGAGAACAGATACAGTATAAGATATAAGGCATGTCTAAACTGCTCAATCTCCCAAACTGATTTGCATTTTATTAACGAAACATCAAAAAGCGTTTTCCAATATTTAACATTGGAAAATTCTTCGTATTTATTGATAATTCACTGAGTACCGTTTACAAAGATCTAAGTAACTCAATGATAGGTGTGATGTTGAATTTCGTCTTCTTTTCGGTCAACTTTTTCGGAAATTTATCTTTCTTTTTATTCGTATACTTTCCTACGAATCCGTTCCGTTGTTTTTTACAGAAAAATTTGCGAAAGCCCAAAAATTTCAAGTGACTATAAAAATTCTAGCAAACGAATCTGTGATATCACTGCCTACAGACCGATCCGCTATCAAAAACCTGCAACACATTTAATTTCGCATTCCGTTACTTTCATTTTGGAAATAGCTAAATATCATTCTACAAGCAGAATTTAATTACTATTACAGGTCGAATTTAAGGTGGTCGAGTTTATTTGCAGCATTGTTTTTTGAGATATCATCATCAAAGTTTTAGGAAAAATGCATAAAATTCTTTTCAATATTCATATTCTGACGAATTTCTTCCAGAATTTTTCCTAAGAAACAGTAACGGCGTGGCGAAATGGATCCGAAAATATATTCTCTGGATATAGTGCACGAAAATTCTATACATAGTATAGCTTATTAAGAATTATAGCCTGGATGATATCCTGCAGATATCCTTTGTCTTTTGTACATTTATATAATATTGCAATTTTCCGGCCGTATGGCAGAGGAGGTTAAGGCCTACTGCTCTGGGGATTTGGGATCGAATTGGCAATCGAAAAACTCCAGGAATTTTTCGGGAGTTGTCTGTCCCAGATTTGTCGAGTCCCATTCCTCACCACTCGACCGTTTCCATTGTGGGTCTGAAAAAGGCTTTCTTAGTGCCCACAAGATGAAAAGAGTCAATACACGCGCGCGCACATACGCACAACCGCACACACATATATAATTACATAAAATGTACAAAACATGAAATTAAAATAATTAGAAAATACTCTAATCTGGTATGAAGAATCATGTTCGGGAGTGATCACAAAAGAAAATTGTAAACTTCGATGTAATACCATCTTCGATGCAGTTCTCGCCCTCTGAAGTTGACAAACTAAATCGAGCGTACTGTTAA